GTCTTTTTGCTCTGAAAATTGGCGAAAAATTAAAGTTGAAGCGGTCGCTCCGTCATGGAGGCCATGTTTGGGAGCGACCGAAGCACCGCCTGTCAGCGACAGCAGGAGAAGTAGGGCCGAGGAAACGTTACCGTCTCTACCGGAGCGGAGGGTTTATCACCGGGAGAGTTAGGGTCCTCTGCCCGGTCAGAGTGCACATACTCCGGGAGGGGCTGTTCAGAAGGTGGAGGTGTGTGGTTGTCTGTGTGGGAGTGGGTTTATTTGTTTGTGTTGTGTTTAAAAAAAGTGTGTCTGACCCTGCGGAGTGATCTGATGGAGGGCTGCTCTGGTGAGGCGGTCACTGTCATCAGACCTGAAGACCCGGACTGGATCAGACTGGATCCGCAGAGGATCCGGACTGCCGGTTCAGGGCCCCATGTAAAGATCTCACATTGCCCCCCCACCACCACAACAGCCCAAACCAGCCCTAAACAGTTACCATGACAACAAGCAGTGACCCATTATCAGGCTGCATTAACTCATTAATGCAGAGACAGAGAACAGGAAGTGACCAGAGACAGAGAACAGGAAGTGACCAGAGACAGAGCACAGGTGCTGACAGGAAGTGACCAGAGACAGAGCACAGGAAGTGACCAGAGACAGAGAACAGGAAGTGACCAGAGACAGAGAACAGGAAGTGACCAGAGACAGAGCACAGGAAGTGACCAGAGACAGAGCACAGGTGCTGACAGGAAGTGACCAGAGACAGAGCACAGGAAGTGACCAGAGACAGAGAACAGGAAGTGACCAGAGACAGAGAACAGGAAGTGACCAGAGACAGAGCACAGGAAGTGACCAGAGACAGAGAACAGGAAGTGACCAGAGACAGAGAACAGGAAGTGACCAGAGACAGAGAACAGGAAGTGACTAGAGACAGAGCACAGGACCTGACAGGAAGTGACCAGAGACAGAGCACAGGACCTGACAGGAAGTGACCAGAGACAGAGAACAGGAAGTGACCAGAGACAGAGCACAGGAGCTGACAGGAAGTGACCAGAGACAGAGAACAGGAAGTGACCAGAGACAGAGAACAGGAAGTGACCAGAGACAGAGCACAGGACCTGACAGGAAGTGACCAGAGACAGAGCACAGGACCTGACAGGAAGTGACCAGAGACAGAGAACAGGAAGTGACCAGAGACAGAGCACAGGAAGTGACCAGAGACAGAGAACAGGAAGTGACCAGAGACAGAGAACAGGAAGTGACCAGAGACAGAGCACAGGACCTGACAGGAAGTGACCAGAGACAGAGCACAGGACCTGACAGGAAGTGACCAGAGACAGAGAACAGGAAGTGACCAGAGACAGAGCACAGGAAGTGACCAGAGACAGAGAACAGGAAGTGACCAGAGACAGAGAACAGGAAGTGACCAGAGACAGAGCACAGGACCTGACAGGAAGTGACCAGAGACAGAGAACAGGACCTGACAGGAAGTGACCAGAGACAGAGAACAGGAAGTGACCAGAGACAGAGCACAGGAAGTGACCAGAGACAGAGAACAGGAAGTGACCAGAGACAGAGAACAGGAAGTGACTAGAGACAGAGCACAGGAAGTGACCAGAGACAGAGCACAGGTACTGACAGGAAGTGACCAGAGACAGAGCACAGGAAGTGACCAGAGACAGAGCACAGGAAGTGACCAGAGACAGAGAACAGGAAGTGACCAGAGACAGAGAACAGGAAGTGACTAGAGACAGAGCACAGGTACTGACAGGAAGTGACCAGAGACAGAGAACAGGAAGTGACCAGAGGCAGAGCACAGGACCTGACAGGAAGTGACCACAGACAGAGACAGGAAGTGACCAGAGACAGAGAACAGGAAGTGACCAGAGACAGAGCACAGGAAGTGACCAGAGACAGAGCACAGGAAGTGACCAGAGACAGAGCACAGGAAGTGACCAGAGACAGAGCACAGGAGCTGACAGGAAGTGACCAGAGACAGAGAACAGGAAGTGACCAGAGACAGAGCACAGGAAGTGACCAGAGACAGAGCACAGGAGCTGACAGGAAGTGACCAGAGACAGAGCACAGGAAGTGACCAGAGACAGAGCACAGGAAGTGACCAGAGACAGAGCACAGGTACTGACAGGAAGTGACCAGAGGCAGAGAACAGGAAGTGACCACAGACAGAGAACAGGAAGTGACCAGAGACAGAGCACAGGTACTGACAGGAAGTGACCAGAGACAGAGAACAGGAAGTGACCAGAGACAGAGAACAGGAAGTGACCAGAGACAGAGAACAGGAAGTGACCAGAGGTAGAGCACAGGAAGTGACCAGAGGCAGAGCACAGGAAGTGACCAGAGGCAGAGCACAGGAAGTGACAGGAAGTGACCAGAGGCAGAGAACAGGAAGTGACCAGAGGCAGAGCACAGGACCTGACAGGAAGTGACCACAGACAGAGAACAGGAAGTGACCAGAGACAGAGAACAGGAAGTGACCAGAGACAGAGCACAGGAAGTGACCAGAGACAGAGCACAGGAAGTGACCAGAGACAGAGAACAGGAAGTGACCAGAGACAGAGCACAGGAAGTGACCAGAGACAGAGAACAGGAAGTGACCAGAGACAGAGCACAGGAAGTGACCAGAGACAGAGCACAGGAGCTGACAGGAAGTGACCAGAGACAGAGCACAGGTGCTGACAGGAAGTGACCACAGACAGAGCACAGGAAGTGACCAGAGACAGAGCACAGGTACTGACAGGAAGTGACCAGAGGCAGAGAACAGGAAGTGACCACAGACAGAGAACAGGAAGTGACCAGAGACAGAGCACAGGTACTGACAGGAAGTGACCAGAGACAGAGAACAGGAAGTGACCAGAGACAGAGAACAGGAAGTGACCAGAGACAGAGCACAGGAAGTGACCAGAGACAGAGCACAGGTGCTGACAGGAAGTGACCACAGACAGAGCACAGGAAGTGACCAGAGACAGAGCACAGGACCTGACAGGAAGTGACCAGAGGCAGAGAACAGGAAGTGACCAGAGACAGAGCACAGGACCTGACAGGAAGTGACCAGAGGCAGAGAACAGGAAGTGACCAGAGACAGAGCACAGGACCTGACAGGAAGTGACCAGAGACAGAGAACAGGAAGTGACCAGAGACAGAGCACAGGAAGTGACCAGAGACAGAGAACAGGAAGTGACCAGAGACAGAGAACAGGAAGTGACCAGAGACAGAGAACAGGAAGTGACCAGAGACAGAGCACAGGAAGTGACCAGAGACAGAGCACAGGTACTGACAGGAAGTGACTAGAGGCAGAGAACAGGAAGTGACCAGAGACAGAGAACAGGAAGTGACCAGAGACAGAGCACAGGAAGTGACCAGAGACAGAGAACAGGACCTGACAGGAAGTGACCAGAGGCAGAGAACAGGAAGTGACCAGAGACAGAGCACAGGACCTGACAGGAAGTGACCAGAGACAGAGCACAGGAAGTGACCAGAGACAGAGAACAGGAAGTGACCAGAGACAGAGCACAGGTGCTGACAGGAAGTGACCACAGACAGAGCACAGGAAGTGACCAGAGACAGAGCACAGGTACTGACAGGAAGTGACCAGAGGCAGAGAACAGGAAGTGACCAGAGACAGAGCACAGGTGCTGACAGGAAGTGACCACAGACAGAGCACAGGAAGTGACCAGAGACAGAGCACAGGACCTGACAGGAAGTGACCAGAGGCAGAGAACAGGAAGTGACCAGAGACAGAGCACAGGTACTGACAGGAAGTGACCAGAGGCAGAGAACAGGAAGTGACCAGAGACAGAGCACAGGAAGTGACCAGAGACAGAGAACAGGAAGTGACCAGAGACAGAGCACAGGAAGTGACCAGAGACAGAGAACAGGAAGTGACCAGAGACAGAGCACAGGAAGTGACCAGAGACAGAGAACAGGAAGTGACCAGAGACAGAGAACAGGAAGTGACCAGAGGTAGAGCACAGGAAGTGACCAGAGACAGAGCACAGGTACTGACAGGAAGTGACCAGAGGCAGAGCACAGGAAGTGACAGGAAGTGACCAGAGACAGAGCACAGGAAGTGACCAGAGACAGAGCACAGGAAGTGACCAGAGGTAGAGCACAGGAAGTGACCAGAGACAGAGCACAGGAAGTGACCAGAGGCAGAGAACAGGAAGTGACCAGAGGTAGAGCACAGGAAGTGACCAGAGACAGAGCACAGGAAGTGACCAGAGACAGAGCACAGGACCTGACAGGAAGTGACCAGAGGCAGAGAACAGGAAGTGACCAGAGACAGAGCACAGGACCTGACAGGAAGTGACCAGAGACAGAGCACAGGTACTGACAGGAAGTGACCAGAGACAGAGAACAGGAAGTGACCAGAGACAGAGCACAGGAAGTGACCAGAGACAGAGCACAGGACCTGACAGGAAGTGACCAGAGGCAGAGAACAGGAAGTGACCAGAGACAGAGAACAGGAAGTGACCAGAGACAGAGCACAGGACCTGACAGGAAGTGACCAGAGGCAGAGCACAGGAAGTGACAGGAAGTGACCAGAGACAGAGAACAGGAAGTGACCAGAGACAGAGCACAGGAAGTGACCAGAGGCAGAGCACAGGAAGTGACCAGAGACAGAGCACAGGAAGTGACCAGAGACAGAGCACAGGAAGTGACCAGAGACAGAGAACAGGAAGTGACCAGAGACAGAGCACAGGAAGTGACCAGAGACAGAGCACAGGAAGTGACCAGAGACAGAGAACAGGAAGTGACCAGAGACAGAGCACAGGAAGTGACCAGAGACAGAGCACAGGAAGTGACCAGAGACAGAGCACAGGAAGTGACCAGAGACAGAGAACAGGAAGTGACCAGAGGTAGAGCACAGGAAGTGACCAGAGACAGAGCACAGGAAGTGACCAGAGACAGAGAACAGGAAGTGACAGGAAGTGACCGGAGACAGAGCACAGGAAGTGACCAGAGACAGAGCACAGGAGCTGACAGGAAGTGACCAGAGACAGAGCACAGGAGCTGACAGGAAGTGACCAGAGACAGAGCACAGGAAGTGACCAGAGACAGAGCACAGCTGCTGCATGCGCTCTACTCACTGATGATTTCCTGATCTTTAAATAAAAGGTGTGTAGTAAAGATCTTCCTCTCTTTTCCTACTGCACCTCCTTTAGTTCACTTCCTGGTTTCTCACTTCTCTCCCTCTTGATTGGTTGTTGTTTTCACTCTGTCACTAATTAGTTAGATTGAATTCACCTGCTCTTTATTTCAGACTCATGTTTTCATCCTCACACGGGGCAGAAGGTGGCTTTCACTCCTACTTTAATTTCTATCTATTCCATTTGATTTTATCCTAAGTACTTTATTTATCTTTATTTCCTTCAGAAAGTAAATCTAATGTGACTTGTTTATTGTGCAAATATTATTTTATTTGGATGTTCAATGTGTGTCTTCTGTTGCCCTCATGATTCACCTCATTTGAAGAAATAAACCTGAACTCAGGTCTTGTTGGATTCCTGCATCCTGACCCGATGACACCAAAATATGTTGCAGCCAGAAACTGAGGCGGACTCTGAAAGGTCGTTTCACTTCTCTTCACTTTATTGAAGCGTTTAACAAAAACCCAGAACCTTCATTCACTCTGAGTCTCTTCAGCTGCTCAATAATCACTACAGCTTTCTTACTAACTCAGGAGCATCACAACAACAACACTCTTCTTCTCCTGCATGTCACTGTCACTCACAGACTCCACCTAGTGGTGTAGATTATGCAGCGCATTTAATTAATAACATGTCAACATCAACTGCTTAAATAATGTTGCAGTTCAGAAAAATACATTAACAACTTTGAAGATGAATTCAAAAAGATTATAAACTAAAGAATTTCAAAATGACAAGTACAACAAAAAAGTGTTTGTGGGGTCCTCGATAACCAAACAATAAACATCAATGTTCTCAACCTGTCACACTCTCCCCCACTTTAAAAATGGCGTCCCGACATTTTCATTATACCTCTTAGCCTAAAACCTTTCTGGGCAGTTTTTTTTAATATAACAAACAGGATGACATTATGTCCTTGCAATGGCAATAAGCTTTAGTTTTGTATTTATTTGCTTTGATTACATTGTTTAAGTTGAGAAGTACATTTACAATAAAAGTGCGCTATACACTACTTTTGAATTCATTGTTGGATTTTGCTATAACAATGCGATTAATCGTGATTAAAACTTTTAATCGTTGCCCAGCCCTAAAATATATAATATATATATATATATATATATATATATTTTAGTTGTTATAGGGTGCCTCAGACTTCTTTGGTTGTTGCCGTGGTTTCAAACAGGAATCATTATTGTTGTTATTTGTACTCGTTTTGTATCAAAGGTTAAAAGGGGCGTGGTGATGTGTGACCACCCCGTCGCCCCCCCTGAAGTATCTGTTATCGATCGGCGTGATGAAAACGTAACTCCTCCTCCTACTGGATCACAACGACCTTTAATGAAGTGTAGAAAAACATTAACACAGAAATCAAACCCTCAACATCTCAGTTCAGATAAACTCCACTCCTCCGTCTGTCACGTAGAACGAGCTGCTCCTGTAGGTCTTTGTCCTGGGGGAGGAGGAGGAGGCGGTGGAGGAGGAGGTGGTGGAGGAGGAGGCAGCGGCGGTGGCGTGGACGGTGAAGACCTGCCGTGTCCTTGGCTCCTCGCTGCTTCCTGCTGCTGCAGCCATGTTGTTGTTGTTGTTGTTTGGAGCTTCCTGTCTGGAGGAGCACACCAGCCGATGGGTCACCAGCCGTTGCCAGGGGCGACAGAGGAAGGGCCGGTCGCTCTCAGAGGAGGAGGGCGGTCCACTGTGGCTCCTCCTCCTGATGGCGTGGCAGGTGGCGAAGACGGTGATTCTATAATCCCTGAGGAGAAGAAGAGTCAGCTGTTACATCTGAACGTCTCCAAGAGACCTCCAGAAGGTCTACACAAGACCTCTTAAAACACACCCAGAACCCCTTCAGTGACCAGAACCTTTAAAGAACCAACAGAAGCTTCGATAACGGAGCTGCAGAATCTCTTCAACAACAAAAACCACCTCCCTCCCAGAGACCAGCGTCACAACCATCTGAAGGTTCTTTACAACTTCTAACCACCAAAACAACGGACCACATTACCCAGAGAACCTTTCCATGTCAACCAGAACAATCTACAGAACCTCTAGAACCTCTGAGGCATTTTTGGATTTTCCTCACCAGGCCTTAAGGAGAGCGATGATGATGCCTCCTTATCGACCACAAACAAACAAACACCCAGACAACCAAACACAACAAAACAACAACAGGGCTGTGTGTTTTTGTTTTGTTGTTTTCTTTTCTCCTTTGACTCTTCTTCTCTTTCTTTTAATTTAATTTTATAACTCATTTGTTTGTTTGTCTTCCTAAAGATGTTAAACATCGTAGAGAAAGTGAAGAAAACCTCGATGGAGGGAAACATTTATGAATTTATGGAACACAGATCCAAGCTCCTTTAAACAAACTGTAAAACATGTTTCTGAGTTGTAAGTGTTTTTTTTAGTATTTCCACATCACTGGGGGACACATCCTGTTTGACACCACACCACTTCCTTATGTTGAATATAAAATATGTGTTCTGTATGTTAAGACAACAGAACCACCTCACAAAAAACTGAAGCTTCACAAAACATTTACAGATTCTCTAGAACTTTTAAAACTATATATAAATTCAAATCTTAACATTATTGTTTTGACTTTTTTATCCTACTACAGTTTGAAATATTCTTCTATTTATTTTAATATCTTATTGCTTTCATGTGTTGTTTTTTATTTTTATATCTATTTTTCTTTTAATTATTATATTTATATATATTATATTGATGGGCATTAGTCGCTCAGTAACTTTTCTGCTCTCTTTTGTAAAACACTTTGAACTGTAATTTAATTTGTCTGAAAGGTGCTGTATAAATAAAGTTTGATTGAAAAGACCTCCTCCACATCTATAGAACATAAAGTCCTTAGAGACCTCTTCCAGGAACACGTTTCCTCCTCAGCTGTCCCCTAGAGTTCATCATCGACAACAAGAACCACAGAAATCAACCCGACGATTTCTAACCATGATGAAAATCCTCGAGGGATCGTTGGAGCGTCCCAGGTGACACCAGGAGCGACCATCAGGAATCTTCTTCACCTTCTAGTAAACATTCCAACGCTCCAAAACAACCACATGAAACACAGAACCGTCTGATGGATCATTAGAACCTGGATTCTGAAGACCAGGTACCTGAGCAGTCGTCCCAGCAGCTCCGCACACTTGCTGAGCCTCTCTTCCTGCCTGCTGAAGCTGGCCCCGCCCTCACTGCGGTCCAGCCAATAGAAGGCAGAGATGCTGTCGATGAGGAGGAGGGCCAGGCCGGGTCTGGAGGACAAGGTGGTCTCCAGGAAGTGGAGGGTGAGGAGGAGCTGAGCGGAGGAGGAGCAGTGGACGACCAGGAGACGAGACAGACACGAACGCAACACCGCCTCGTCTGACCCGGCCGAGGGCGAGCGAGCTACTCCCAGAGGAAGAGAGAGAGAGATACAATAAATCACATGCTGGTTACTCTGCTTCTTCTTCGTTGGTGTCTGGGAGTGTTTACCTGAATTCAGTCTGTTGTCCAGGATGCTGACGAGTCGTAACATGTCCAGGCTGTAGTCAGTGTCCACAAACACAACGTCCACTTCAAGACCGCCACTAGCCACGGGCAACACGCAGCGACACAGCAGGTGGTAGAGCATCTCAGTCTTACCTACACACACACACACACACACACACACACACACACACACACACACACACACACACACACACACACACACACACACACACACACTTTACACAGGCTCCACCAAGAGGCGGGAGTGTTTCCTGTCGATGTAGCTCACCTGTTCCCTCCGCCCCGTACAGCTCCACCACCTCACCTGACAGACAAACAGCTGATCAGTCACAGTCTCATTATGTCATATGATGTGTGCTCATGAGATGAGGGGGCGTGGTCAGTACCGTGGTTAGGTCCTCCATCTTCAGGAAACAGACGAGGTTCAATATCCTTCAGACAGCGCCGAGCTTCCAGACGGGCAAACAGCTGCAGAGACAGACCGCAGGACGGTTTATACACCGCTCCAGAACATAGACCGGACCACCCGCCGTACACACACCGCTACAGAACGTAGACCGGACCACCCGCCGTACACACACCGCTACAGAACGTAGACCGGACCACCCGCCGTACGCACACCGCTACAGAACATAGACCGGACCACCCGCCGTACACACACCGCTCCAGAACGTAGACCGGACCACCCGCCGTACGCACACCGCTACAGAACATAGACCGGACCACCCGCCGTACACACACCGCTACAGAACGTAGACCGGACCACCCGCCGTACACACACCGCTCCAGAACGTAGACCGGACCACCCGCCGTACACACACCGCTACAGAACGTAGACCGGACCACCCGCCGTACACACACCGCTCCAGAACGTAGACCGGACCACCCGCCGTACACACACCGCTACAGAACGTAGACCGGACCACCCGCCGTACACACACCGCTCCAGAACGTAGACCGGACCACCCGCCGTACACACACCGCTCCAGAACGTAGACCGGACCACCCGCCGTACACACACCGCTCCAGAACATAGACCGGACCACCCGCCGTACACACACCGCTCCAGAACATAGACCGGACCACCCGCCGTACACACACCGCTACAGTACACAAACAAATCCACCATGTTCCAGTACATAGACGGTACCTGAGTAATTCTCGGAGTTTCTGATACCTGTTTCATTTAAAGTTGATTTTCTCACCTGAGCTCCACTTTCTGTCATTTCCGCGCGGACATCTTCAAAACATCGAGCCGCGGCGTGACGTCACTTCCTGTTTGCTGCTTTACCGTAATAAACAGCCCCGCCCCCCCTCAGAGCAGGTAGAGATTGTTTATCATCAGCGAGATGACCCACACCTCTCTTCTTTGTTTGAAATGTCCCGAGCCAAACGCTCTCCTCACAGCCACGCTGTGATTGGCTGGTTAGGTTTAAGTTAAGCATGACTGATTGTTTGGTTCAGACCTGATATAGAACATAAACACAAAGCAGGGTGCTGACACATTTAATCACAGGAACATTTAGATCATAAACAATAACATCTGTTTATTTCATCTGTAAAACAATAAATAAACAAAATTACACTGTTGTCTGTTAAACATCAGAAAGTATCAAACAGGATATAAAACATTTAAAACAATATGTTTCAGTCTGAGTTATCCTCGTGTCATGTGACCTGCAGCTGAGCAGCTACAGTTCTGTTTCTGAGCCAATCAGAGGAGACGCTTCAGTCTGACACAGCACGGAGAGAAGACGGTCAGCTGTCTGCTCTGTGGGTCAAAATAAAGCAGGTGAACCTGTTTGTATGAACCTGTCTGTCTCTCTGTCCCACCTGTCTCACCTGTCTGTCTCTCTGTCTCACCTGTATGTCTCTCTGTCTCACCTGTCTGTCTCTCTGTCTCACCTGTATGTCTCTCTGTCCCACCTGTCTGTCTCTCACCTGTATGTCTCTCTGTCTCACCTGTCTGTCTCTCTGTCTCACCTGTATGTCTCTCTGTCCCACCTGTCTGTCTCTCACCTGTATGTCTCTCTGTCCCACCTGGCTGTCTCTCACCTGTCTGTCTCTCTGTCTCACCTGTCTGTCTCTCTGTCTCACCTGTCTGTCTCTCTGTCCCACCTGTATGTCTCTCTGTCCCACCTGTCTCACCTGTCTGTCTCTCTGTCTCACCTGTATGTCTCTCTGTCTCACCTGTCTGTCTCTCTGTCTCACCTGTATGTCTCTCTGTCCCACCTGTCTGTCTCTCACCTGTATGTCTCTCTGTCTCACCTGTCTGTCTCTCTGTCTCACCTGTATGTCTCTCTGTCCCACCTGTCTGTCTCTCACCTGTATGTCTCTCTGTCCCACCTGGCTGTCTCTCACCTGTCTGTCTCTCTGTCTCACCTGTCTGTCTCTCTGTCTCACCTGTATGTCTCTCTGTCCCACCTGTCTGTCTCTCACCTGTATGTCTCTCTGTCCCACCTGGCTGTCTCTCACCTGTCTGTCTCTCTGTCTCACCTGTATGTCTCTCTGTCCCACCTGTCTGTCTCTCACCTGTCTGTCTCTCTGTCCCACCTGTCTGTCTCTCTGTCTCACCTGTCTGTCTCTCACCTGTCTGTCTCTCTGTCTCACCTGTCTGTCTCTCTGTCAGCTCAGCCCTGTCAATCATTACGGTGTCATCCAAAGCCCCGCCCCCTGTTTTACTCTGGCTCTGTGCTCTCTCCTGATTGGCTCTGACCGCACGATGTAGCTGTTCCTCTGACTGTACGAGGTATCTGATTGGCGGGCCCACCATGGTCCTCCTCGGCCTGTGAGGCTGCTCCTTCACCTCCTCCTCTCTGCACCTCCTCTTCCTCAGCCGCCGCCCTCCAGTCCTCCAACCTGTCTGTCTCTCAGTCATTCCTGAAGCCCCGCCCCCAGCCTCACTGTCAATCACAACCTTCTTTGGTCTTCCTGCATCTGGATTGGTCAGACCTGTCTGTCTCTCTGTCAGCTGTGTGTCGTCAGGCCTGTCAATCACTGCTGTGTCATCCAAAGTCCCGCCCTCAGCGTTGACGTTCTTCTGTGGATTACTTAGTGATCCCTCTGCTCTTTCCTGATTGGCTGTTAACGGAGCACGCTCCTCTGACTCCAGGAGGTATCTGATTGGTGGGCCCACCATCTTCCTCCTCGGCCTCTGAAGTGGCTCCCTCGACTCCTCCTCCAGTGTTTCTCCTCCTGCCTCCCTCAGACAGATGTGCTGCACCTCCTCCTCTCTGCACCTCCTTCTCTTTCTCCTTTTGAATCTCTCTCTTTTAATCTGACCTGTCTGTCTCTCAGCAGCCATCTCTGAAGCCCCGCCCCCAGCCTTCTTTGGTCTTCCTGGTCTGCGTTTGGTCAGACCTGTCTGTCTGTCATCACCTGTCTGTCTCTCTGTCAGCTGTGTGTCCTCAGGCCTGTCAATCACTTCTGAGTCATTCAAAGCCCCGCCCCCTGGACGATGTGGCTGCTCCTCAGACTCCAGGAGGTATCTGATTGGTGGGCCCACCGTGGTCCTCCTCGGCCTGCGAGGCTGCTCCTTCACCTCCTCCGTCCATTCCTCAGCATCCTCATCTCCTCTTTCCTCTCTCCTCCTCCTCTTTCCTTGTTCTCCTCCTCTCTCCTCCTCAGAGACTTGTTTAAGCTCCTCCTCTCTACACCTCCTTCTTTTCCTCCCTCTCCGCACATCATTCTCCTGCCACCTCCTCCTACTCATCAACATTAAGTAGTCGACACACCATCGGGGATTTCTGTGCACGCGCTGCCGGCGCCGCGCCAGGTAAGGAGCCCCGGGGTGAGCTAGGAGGCGGGGCTTCTCCTCCTCCTCGTTCTCTTTGATCTTTGCATGAACCTCTTCTGCTCTGTCGTCAGCACATCCGGCGTCTGCAGGTGCTGCCCTGTTACCATGACAACTGCCTCTGTTTAGGAAGTGATGGCGGCGACACACACGCAGGGCAGGGGAGCGAGCGAGCCGGGACAGGTGGAGCTGCAGGGAGAGAGAGAGAGACAGGTGTGTTACACTAATCTAAACAACGTGCAGGAGAATGACATCACGCTTCACATCTTTGATGCACCGACCTTAAGGAGCGGCTTAGCTCCGCCCACTGAAGACTCCTTCAAGCTGCTCTCTCTCTTCTTTCTTCGCTCCACCCTTCCTCTCCTCCCTGGCTCCTCCTCCTCCTCCTCCCTCCTCCTCCTCCTGTCCACCTTTGCTCCTCTATCTTTGCTGTGATTGGCTGCTGACAGGCCATGTACCTTCTCCTCATACTCAATTAGATATCTGATTGGTGGACCGACCGCCTTCCTCCTCGGCCTCTCCGCCTGGTCAGTTTTTATCTTCCCAGGTGTGACTCCCTCCTCCTCCTCCTTCTTTTTCCCTGTCACCTCCTCCTCCTCCTTCATTTTCCCTGTCACCTCTTCCTCCTTCTCCTCCTCCTGCTCCTCATGTTGTTGGATGCGTCTCCTCCTGCAGTGCTGATGTCTCATTCTGGTTTGTCTCCTCTCTCCTGATTGGTCGGGCAGCGTCTTCTGACCATCGCTCCGTCTGGGCTGACACTTCTTCTCTGTCGTTCTTGTGGACAGCCTCCTGTAACCATGGAAACGCTCATCTATTGAAAGAGCAGAAGAACATTTAGGTCAGTGACATCACCATGAGAAGGAATGATGTCATGATGATGTCACAAGATGAGGACTGAGACATTTCTGTTTCCTGTTTGTGCCCCTCTCTAAACATCACATTAAGTCTGACAACATCAACTTACTGTTCTCAGGATCTAAGCAGCCTTCCTCCTCCCCCAGCTCATCCTCCTCCTCCTCCTCCCCAGCTCATCCTCCTCCTCCTCCTCCTCCTCCTCCTCCTCGGCCAGGCGGGGGCTCAGAGGAGCGATGAGTCCAGGGGGAGGAGCTGAGGTGTCTGCAGAGGTCAGCTCACACAGATGCATGCTGGATGATGAGACGGTCTGTTGGAGGAGGAGTTTGGCCTCGGGCTCCTCGGGGTCTGGAGGAGGAGAGGGGGTCCTGTGAGTGCTGCAGTGCTGCAGCAGAGCGCCCCCTCCTGGTTCATCTGCTCGCACAGAGACACACCTCCACGCCACACCACACAGCTGCTGAGTCAGCAGATCCACCTGCACCGCAGCGTCCCTCCTCTCCACTGATTCGCTCTGACAGCCCACCTCCTTCGTCTCCTCCTCCTCTGGACTCTCCCACTGACAGCCCACCTCCTTCGTCTCCTCCTCCTCTGGACTCTCCCACTGACAGCCCACCTCCCTCCTCTGAGCCCCCTCCCCGATCCTCCTATGACTCTCCTGGATCACCTGCAGGGGGGACGTGACAAAGACCAGGACGGGAAAATCATCAGAAACACTCGATGATTGTTTATCCAACTCCATTCAAAGAATCTCTCTCTCTACAAATGATTCAATTCATCCATTCATACACATACACAGGGTGACACATTGGACTGGCTGCAGGATCTGGGGATCGAACCCTCGACCTTTCAGGTCAAATATTCAATCAGTTGTAGGAATTTAACCCTTTAAATGCGAGTTTGATTACATGACTCTGGCATTTAAAGGGTTAAATTCCTGATAATGATTGTTGTTTAGGATAGGATAATCCCCCAGAGGGGATCAATAGAATATCAATCAATAGAGGGGAAATTCATTTAAGAGATTTATGCAAAAGAAAGTTTGAAACATATCAATCTGTTCTATTTTTTCAGTTTCTGTAAATTGGACATTTTTTGTCCTCCACTGTCCAAACAGAGAACGACATTTTAAATCTGATGCTACACAAAAACTAACAATGCATCAAAGTCAATATTTTTTAAGACACGCCCACTCACTGCTTAGCGCCGTTATCAGCCGCAACATACAATGTTTGCCACACACACACACACACACACACACACACACACACACACACACACACACACACACACACACACACACACACACACACACACACACACACACACACACACACACACACACACACACACACACACACCCCTTTAATAATGAAATAAAAACAGGAAAGTTCTCCCCGTACTTCTTCTCACCTTCTTTCTTCACCTCCTGTTCCTCATATGTCTCCTACCCCCTCCTCTAATGTCCCCTTCTTCTCCTCCTCTTTGACCCCCTCTCCTTCTCCTATCCTCCTCCTGTCCTTCCTCTCCTCCTCCTCCTCCTCTCCTTCCTCTCCTCCTCCTCCTCCTCTCCTCCCTCTCCTCCTCCTCCTCCTCTCCTCCTCCTCCTCTCCTCCTCCTCCTCTCCTCCTCTCCTCCTCCTCCTCCTCCTCTCTCTCCTCCCTCTCCTTCCTCTCCTCCTTCTCCTTCTCTCCTCCTTCTCCTCCTCTCCTTCTCACACACACACACACACACACACACACACACACACACACACACACACACACACACACACACACACACACACACACACACACACACACACACACACACTAACCCTTGTCATAACTTCAAGCTAACTCATTTATTGACCTGTCTGAAGGAGTGTTTCACCTGAGCAGCTGTTTCAGGTCATGACGTCAGGAGGTCATGACCTCATCATTAGCTGAGCAGATCTAACGTGAACTCTTTCGTCATAGCCATCAGAGAACTTTAAACTCACCGACAGCATCTTTATCGGAGTGTTTTTCCCGCTTTTTCAGATCCACAAACGTACGTCGCCGTTAACGGTCCGTGGTGACGTCATGCCGTCTTTGTCTTTTTGAAGTGGAAAAACGTTAAATGTGAAGTTGATCAGTTTGTGTTGACGTTAGCAGCTCAGAGGATTCTCAGCGACTCTTCATCATAAAGTCAACCTGCTGCTCTGCTGCTCTGCTGCCCCCTGCGGCCCGGAGGACGCATCACACCCTCCTCCTTCAACTCCTCCCTATGCCTGTTTTCTCTTCTTTTATTTCATCCTCCTCTTCTTCACCTTCCTCCTGCTCCTCTTCTTCAAACCCCCAGGTGAGCCCAGATCAGTCAGCTGATCATGAAGCAGGAAGTGTCTGTTCTTTCTTTTCAAACAGTCGTAAAAAATATAATTCATTTCATTTCCTTCATCTTTGTATTTGTGCCTTTAAATCTTTTATTTTTGTATAAATAAAGTGTCTGTCACGTCCTCATGCCCAGGGGCCCAATATCTCCTGATCCGTCTCGGGTCACGTCCTGATGACTAAGCGGCCCCGCTTCAGATTCACACGATTATTCCTGGATCACTTTCACCAAACACACAGTTTATTTATGGTTTCATATTATTTACATAAACTTCAAGACAAGTCCAGATCCCTCAGGATCAATAAAGTATCTATCGAGTCACAATCAAACGGTATGGTTACCATGGCAACAGAAACGGAAGTCATATGCACAATATTGTTTTTTTCTTGTGTCTGACCACGCCCCCTCTGTGCCTGTACCTTTAAATATGTAAATGAGCGGTGTCTGACCACGCCCCCTCTGTGTCTGTACCTTTAAATATGTAAATGAGCTGTGTCTGACCACGCCCCCTCTGTGTCTGTACCTTTAAATATGTAAATGAGCTGTGTCTGACCACGCCCCTCTGTGTCTGTACCTTTAAATATGTAAATGAGCTGTGTCTGACCACACCCCCTCTGTGTCTGTACCTTTAAATATGTAAATGAGCTGTGTCTGACCACACCCCTCTGTGTCTGTACCTTTAAATATGTAAATGAGCTGTGTCTGACCACACCCCCTCTGTGTCTGTACCTTTAAATATGTAAATGAGCTGTGTCTGACCACGCCCCCTCTCTGGGAGGGCTTGGATGTACTCAGTGCTTTCTCGCTCCATGTCCTATTGTTTACGGTGAGAAGGCAGACTCAGAGGGCAGAACAAACACCTAGCTGTGGGAGTGTCACCCACCTGGGGGAGGGGTTACTGCCCTTTGTGATGTCATGAAGGGAAAATCTCCAAACAGCCTGTTTGAGCACACATTTTCTGAAAAGTGGAGCAGGCAGAAGACGGAGAGGATGGACTTTTCTCATCATTGGGGGGTTTGTAGACGGACTAGAGACACATGTTAGAGGAACATGGAGAAGTTTACAGAACATGTGACCTTTGAACTTAAAAAACACCTTATAATCCTTTGGATGCTTAAAAATGATTAAAATGCCAAAAGTAAGCAAACATTACAAAGTTTAATTCAAACTGTTTTACAGTTGTTAAGAAAGTAACAAATATTTTAAGTTGGAGATCATTTTGAAAACGTTGTTTCTGTGTTTCTAAAATAAATAAAACACCACATTTTGTTTACAAACTGACTCTTGTGCTTCAGAGCCCGGGTTAGCCTGCTAGCAGTGTGCTAGTGTAATGAGCTATGAGCTAAATGGGGACAGAGCTCATCCGGGGATTGGCTGGTGGAGAGCAGAGAGCAGGTGAACCGGCCAGCAAGCTGTGAAGTCCACAGGCTAACAGCTAACAACGTAGCATGCTAACAGGTCGTCTGTAGCTGCCAACATGATGCCGAACACACACACACACACACACACTCACTCACACACACACACACACTCACACACACACACACACACACACACACACACACACACACACACACACACTCACACACACACACACACACACACACACACTCACACACACACACACACTCACACACACACACACACACACACACACACACACACACACACACACACACTCACACACACACACACACACACACACACACACTCACACACACACACACACACACACACACACACACTCACACACACACACACACTCACACACACACACACACACACACACACTCACACACACACACACTCACACACACTCACACACACACACACACACTCACACACACACACACACTCACACACACACACACTCACACTCACACACACACACTCACACACACACACACACACTCACACACACACACACACACACTCACACACACACACACACACACACTCACACACACACACACTCACACACACTCACACACACACACACACACACTCACACACACACACACACTCACACACACACACACTCACACTCACACACACACACTCACACACACACACACACACTCACACACACACACACACACACTCACACACACACACACACTCACACTCACACACACACACTCACTCACACACACACACACACTCACACACACACACACACACACTCACACACACACTCACACACACACACACACACACTCACACACACACACACACTCACACTCACACACACACACACACACACACACACACTGTTTTTATGGTTTTATTGAAATTGTAAAACTTTCAGATTTTGAATGTGTGTTATAAATAAAATATATTATTATTATTATTATTAGTGTTGTTGTAAATGAGCTGTAACTCCAGCAGGGGGCAGCAGACACACATCACAGAACCTCTGACCCTTTAAATCTTTAAATCACGAGTTCTTTAAATAAAGTCTGATAAACTGTTTGACATGAAATCATCCAATCAGCTTCTTTAAATAAAGTCTGATAAACTGTTTGACATGAAATCATCCAATCAGCTTCTTTAAATAAAGTCTGATAAACTGTTTGACATGAAATCATCCAATCAGCTTCTTTAAATAAAGTCTGATAAACTGTTTGACATGAAATCATCCAATCAGCTTCTTTAAATAAAGTCTGATAAACTGTTTGATATGAAATCATCCAATCAGCTTCTTTAAATAAAGTCTGATAAACTGTTTGATATGAAATCATCCAATCAGCTTCTTTAAATAAAGTCTGATAAACTGTTTGACATGAAATCATCCAATCAGCTTCTTTAAATAAAGTCTGATAAACTGTTGGACATGAAATCATCCAATCAGCTTCTTTAAATAAAGTCTGATAAACTGTTTGACATGAAATCATCCAATCAGCTTCTTTAAATAAAGTCTGATAAACTGTTTGATATGAAATCATCCAATCAGCTTCTTTAAATAAAGTCTGATAAACTGTTTGACATGAAATCATCCAATCAGCTTCTTTAAATAAAGTCTGATAAACTGTTTCACATGAAATCATCCAATCAGCTTCTTTAAATAAAGTCTGATAAACTGTTTGATATGAAATCATCCAATCAGCTTCTTTAAATAAAGTCTGATAAACTGTTTGATATGAAATCATCCAATCAGCTTCTTTAAATAAAGTCTGATAAACTGTTGGACATGAAATCATCCAATCAGCTTCTTTAAATAAAGTCTGATAAACTGTTTCACATGAAATCATCCAATCAGCTTCTTTAAATAAAGTCTGATAAACTGTTTGATATGAAATCATCCAATCAGCTTCTTCACGTGTTTATATTATAACCCACGTGCTCACAGAGAGAGAGCCACTGAAGCAGGAAGTGTGAGAGACAATGTGAGTCATCACCATCATGTTTATATTTTGCTGATGTGAGTGACTGTGGAGGGGAAATCCCGACGGTTATCATGAGGGGGCGTGGCTATCGGCTGTGTGTGCGCGTGTGTGTCAGAGTGTGTGTGTAGCTCGTGCAGTCTTCAGAGCGAAGTTGGAGCTGCTTCACGAGCATCGTGAGCAGCACCTGATGTACCTCCGCTATGTGTGTGTGTGTGTGTGTGAGTGTGTGTGTGTGTGTGAGTGAGTGTGTGTGTGTGTGTGTCACTGAGCGGAGCGCGGATGAATCGATCATCGGCTCAGTGATCGATTAATCAGCAGGATTTAATATTCATCTGTTGACTTTTCCTGCTGAAGGATCAAACATTCTTTATTTTTCTGTTGGAGGGATTACTCCAGAACATTTCTCTGGGATTAAACATCCATTTACACGCCTCCTGCTGACGTCATCAGGAGCTGTGCTCCTATTGGAGCGTCTCTAAAGATCAGTGATGCGCGCCCTCAGCTCTCTCTGTGCTCTGTATTTGTGGCAGTGACAGCCTGCGGCCTGTAGGGGGCGATGTCTGCCCTCTATAACAGCCGGGACATCGTGGAGGACTTCCTGCGTCACAGGCTGCAGCAGGACGGGCGAGTTACGCTCCCGCCGCGACGACATCACGCCGCTTTGAGGTCGACTTCCACATCGTCACTGACATGGAGAGCTGTTCGAGTGATGACATCACACCGAGACTTTCACCCAGGTGAGGAGGTTTACTGTGTTGTCATGGTAACGTTTATTGAAGCGATAACTAGTCGACTGCTAACAAGCCCCTCCCCCAGCAGCCCTGCAGCGTTCTGCCCCCACCGCCCCCCTCCGTAAGTCTTCCAGAGAGCAGACCAATCAGAGGGCAGTGGGCAGGTGGGGGGGGCCTTAAAGAGACAGCAGCTTCTCCCTATGATGATGTCATCGCTTGTACATTGTGACATCACTAACATTTGTCTCAGTTTGATGATGTCACAGCAGGTTTTCTAATACCTTGCAGACCTCACGGCCGTCCTGCGGAGTGCCTGCGACGATCTAGCACGCCGTTACCATGGCGACCTGGCGGCCAACCTGTCGGCGCTGTCGCAGCAAGACGGCGTTGAGGCGGCAGGGCTCGGGGGTCTGACGGCGGTGAGGGAGGAGCTGTTCAGAGACGGGGTGAACTGGGGACGTATCGTGGCCATGATGGAGGTGGGCGGAGCCGTGTGCTCTGAGGCGGTGAAGACGGGCGGGGCGCAGCAGGTGGAGGTGATCGCCGGCTGGATGGAGGAGGGTCTGGACTCTCTCCAGGGATGGATAGACGATAACGGAGGATGGGTAGGTGGGCTTCTGTTTCCTCTTCCTCCTCGTCATCATCAACGAGCCGGTGACTGTTCCAGTGTGTTAGGTTTTAATTATCTCTGATGCTAACTCTGAGGCCACGTTTCCATGACAACAATCAAATGAAAACTGAATCGTTTTGAACAACGGGTGACTAAAAACAGTGTAGTACACATGCCCGACCAGTATGTGGCGCTGTGACTTTGTAATGAAACAACAGCTTTGCAGCTTCCTGTTTGGTGCTGCTGAGATGCTCCTATTGGTCAATTTGAATAAGACCAGACTTAATAATATGACACATGAAACAGACGTCCTTAAAACAGCTGTTTGAGTTTGATGACCACGTTACGCCAAACGACCCCGACTCCAAAAACTCATTAAATGATTTAAAGGTCCCATATTCTTCTTCTTCTGGTTTTATATGCTCTTTAAGTCTGCGGAGACGCAGCTTCTCCTACGTCCTCCTGTTAGCTGTAGCATTAGCTGCATGTAACGCTCGGTTCTAGCCCCCCTCGATAGAAATGTGTCAGTGTGACGTCATTGTCAGTGTGATGTCACTGATCTAAGCCCATTGGCTCGTTGTGGCCCAGCAGCTCATGTTGAAATTTCCCGAGACGCGTGCTGAGCAACTGACCA